GTTTGGGCCGAGCGAATCCGATCGGGGCCAGTTTCGGTCCGATCGATGTGGTGGTGGTGGTGGTGGTGGTGGTCAGTGGATGCGTGTCCGTCTTACTCACAGTTGGGAATGTGGGTGCATCCCGTGTCGGAATGGTGTCTAAAACTAAGCGTATGGGGTGTGCGAAGGCAAGTGGATCAAGTGTAGTACTAGTATGCAGGGGCAGCAGGAGGCATTAACAAATAGGCAACAACCAATCAATAATTTGAACGAATGGACGTTTAAAAATTAAATTTATTTTATAAAAGTAGGAATCTGAGGGATTGCTACCTTAGTTTTTGCCAAAGTGAATGATCTTTTAGATGAAGCTTCCAGATACCTGTGCAGATATTTCGAACTTGTCTCCGTAACAATAACATGTACATTTTACTCCTTAAAATTCCTCCGGATGTTATCATCTTTCAATCTCTTCAAATTTGCAATCGATATGCGTCTGCATACGACCCCAGTCTCATGTAAGGAAAGCGACCATGATATGCTCCCAGGTGGCAATTTTTTCGAGTTGGAGTATGCGGACGACTGTGTACCTATGGATGAAGACCCAGGTAATGGTGAACGTTTTTCCAAATGTTTAGCGTATTGTAAAATTTCGAATCCAGTCGTAGAATGTCATGTGACTGATGACAGCTCCTCATTCCACGTCGAGCAGCGCTTGACTGATCAGCTTTTCTATCGACTGTTGGAGTATTAATCGACCCAGTGTTCTATAAAACCGTATTTTTGCAAATCGATCTGTCAGAGCCACAATCAACCCGATATATTTCGTTGACTTGGGTACTTCTTGACCGAAGCTAATCAGATCAGAGGCACTTAGATGCAACGGTTTGAGTGTTAGAATAACCCTGAACGCTTAAAGGTTTGTTTGGCAGATTGAAGTCTTATGTTACAATTGTGAAAAGCTGACTAACCTCGGTTTGGATTCGAACCAACGAACGGACGCCCCGTACGATTTTGTACAGCGCACGCCCTACCAGCTGAGCCACGAGGCCGCATAATTCACTCGGTGGACTCCAGTCATGGCAGTCGGTTTACATGCTACCTGGTGGATGCCATATGCCTCTGTAAGTTGGATGGATGATTCGAATGTGAAAAGATCAGTGCTCTGTCGGTGTGGTCTCGTTGTAACTCAGCTGGTAGAGCGTGCGGTGTACAAAAGTGTGGGCGGCGTCGATGCGTGGGTTCAAATACCACCGAGGTTACTAAAATTTTCACAATTTTAACATAACCTTAAAAGTGTAAATGGCTGTTACATTATTGAGTTGGCTCAGGACAAAACCTTATTCGGACTTCTACCAGTCGGGATCAGCCATCCTACAGCAAACGGGATTACTCGAGAGATAAGTTATCCCATTTTCGTAAGACATCTGAACCGAATGGGTTGTCTCTACCTACTTGTAAGTATGAGAGATACGCCAGGGTTTTGGGGTTGACAAAACTCCTGAGTTCACAACAAACAATTCCGGTTAACTAGTAGAAAGCGAATTTCTCAACGACTTGGAAGAAACGAAGTGGATCCTACAGTGGAAACCAATTGGGATTTGACTTGATTAGCATCGTCTTAAAGCTTCACTCTGGTGTCTGCGCCGGCGAACGGTGTACGAGTGCGAACCAGGCCCGTTCTAGACCGTGTCGAGGATGTTCCCCTCCAAAAATAATTGAACATAGCTATTTCGTCGGTGGTCCCATCATTTCTATCTTCTTTCATCTGGAAGCGACCCCAAATTAAAACAATTGCACTTTACTCTGGCACTAATTTTCCTTAATTGATGATGGGCCGGGCATATTTATGCTTCCAGCACGATCCCCTCAAATAATCAACCCCTGACTGGGTTAGACCTTTTCTACTCTTTTCCATCGAAGTTCACGGCGAACACCTATGTTCGTTACGGCTAACTGCCCTCACCCCTTGAATTTTCAACTTTTAGTGAATGTGGTTTTGAAAATTGTCCTGCCGTCGTGCGAAGATTAAGGTGCCGATATTTTTTTAGGCTCTGTGTTATCGGATCTGGAGTGAGCGAAAATTCAGGTGATCTGCAAAATTTTCTACACTTTTTCCCATCAAGCTTTAGTCAGAACCCGCAGTCTTTTAGCCTCGACCCGTTATCCTTTAGCCAAAACCCGAAATGCTTCGGCTATGACCCGTAGTCATTTATCCTCGACGCACAAACTTTAGTCATATCGCTGTTGGTGAGCCAGATCGAAAAGTATCGGAATATTCTGAGATCAATGAATGCTGAAACACTTTGTTTTCTACAAATTTTCACGGTACGAACCTGGGTTAGGAAATGAGGTGTGGCGGTCATATGCTGCACCACATATTGATTGGAGAATTGTTTAAACCCGGTGTCCGTATCGCCAAACCATTTGACACAACTCATACAGCTTCAATGCATCCATATAATATGCGACATTCCTATGAGTAAAGTTTGTACATTGTTTTGCATTCACAGGTGAACTATGCTTATGAGAAGTGGATAGATAAACAGGCCGAGGATAATAAACACCACTCAAAGAAGTACACAGCTATAACTGTCATCAGTTTATTAAGGCTGCAATATTTAACATAATTACCACGGTTGAGGTTCACGAATCGCAGGTTCTGTCTAAAGCTTAATGGAAAAAGTGTCATTAAGGGAACGGTGTGGGCACATCGCATTTGCCGCTCAACTGCGCAGCACACAGTCGTCACACCCCCGCATTTCCTAACCAAACTTTGCAACATCTATATTCGTAGAAAAAAAGCTTTTTCAACCTTCGTTGACCTCAGAATATTCCGATACTTTTGATATGACTCGCCTGTACAATGGTATGACTAAAGTTTGTGCCTCTATACTAAAGAACTACCAGTCGTGGCTAAAGCATTGCGCATTTTTGACCAAAGGATTGTGGGTCGAGGCGGGTTCTGGCTAAAAGATTACGGGTCGGGGCTAAAGGACTGCGGATTCGAGCTAAAGCTTTATGGACAAAGGTGTAGATGGTCAAAATGTTTTGTAGTCACGTTTGACATGCGTTTGTACTTTTACGTTAGTCCCACTCCCACATTCGTGCATCTTCTCAGTTTCTCTATATCATTAGCCCACTGAACTTTACAATTTTCTCTTCGATCCTACTTTCAACCCTTCCTGTCTTTCTCCTGATGTTCATCCAAATGGACGGCCGAAAGATAGCAACCAAAACCCGCGCACGATAGTGCATGGTTAATGGTTGTACGAACTTAACTGAACTGAACTGAACAATAGTCAGACTGCACCATTTGGCCATTTCCCTTTCTTTGGTGGAAAAAAATCGCGGATGATGTATCGATACATATATAGAAAGATTTGTTGGCGCTTGCCAAATTTATCCGTCATGAAAATTTTCTGTCCGTGGAGTGTTGAGTGCACACTGCAGCTGTCCAGTCAGTAGTGCTTAGCGATGCACAAAAAATGACTGCTAATGGTGGACAATAAACACAAGCTATCGATTTTCGAACGCCAATCGTTACGTCGCATTACAAGAGCCAACCAAAACAAGTAGTGCCGAGGATGGGCACAAATCTATAGGTGATCGCGCTCACTTGCTGCCACAAGCGTTTGACACTACCCTTGGTTGTTGTGTTAGGTATATCATCGGATCGATTTGTTCAGTTTGCGATGCTTCTCAAGAGCTGAGCGCAAAAGTTTCCGGATAACCTAATATCAGCACAGCGCAGCACAACTCACAGGTCATACAAGGGTCGCTACACTCGGACTGTGAGGATGGAACTCAGTCGATGAGTGATGATGAGTGATGATGGTGATGATTTTCTACGACTACAAATGAGGTTTAAAGCAGCAGCAGCAGCAGCAGCAGCAGCAGCAGCAGCAGCAGCAGCAGCAGCAGCAGCAGCAACGTTAGTAGAGTGTTGATCATTTGGGCGCTGAGTTTGCTGATGACGCTCCTTCAAGAATCACTGTGCTCCCTAGTGCCATGTGTGCAATACGATACGAGTGACCAACAGCTGCAGTGGAGGCTTTTGTTGAATTGGTCTAAGGGTTACCCGCTTCGGTATGGTGGAGCTGATTCATCAAATGGTTTGGGCGCATGGAACTGTGTGCGCATGAACGCTGGTGGAGGATATTTGGAGAAAATCCATATGCTTATTTTTGTGTAACAAATAAAAATTTTTGTGCATCCGGAAACGTTTCGCTCAGCCCTCGTAGTTGAAAGGAAGCCAATGGTAGCTGAAATAAGATCTAGTCTGAGGGCATGAAACTTTTGACAAGGAACTTGCGTGGCTTGATCACTTTAGATTTTCTGATTGGGGACTTCAGGATTTCGGTAATAATGACTAATTAGAAACCTGGGGTGATATGTCCAAGTGTTGCAAACAGTGGCACTCGTGCATCTACTCATTTACTAAACCGCATTCCTTATCTTCATATTGTTACTGCTTCGTGCTTTTTGACTTCAATACTGCTTAATCGGCTACGAAGACGACAAAGAAGCAAAAACCAAAAACAGAGCACGAAAGTACACGAAGAATAGATGTGCGAGTTGAACTAAATTAACGAATACCAGCCACGGTGTATTAGATGTGTGTCCCAAACACTAATTTCTGTATTGATTTGAAGAAAATTCCCCCCTGCTCCTCTGAGCTCAAATTTTACCCGCTTGAGAATCGGGTAATTCGAAATAGGAAAACATATCGAGCCCGCAATAAGAGGAGGCTGCAAAGAGTACTAACCAATGAGAATGTGTCATTTGTATAACTGCTTGGTTTTTCCATCAGAATGCGTATCGTGCACCGAAGAAATCATGGCCAACTGTCCCATGTCAACAGTTGATAACCAGCAGGGAGGCTTAGATACCGCTTAGATCGACGCATACAATTTCACATATCAATGCAATCGTACCGCTAAATCAAAGTACTGAAAGAATTTCTCCCTCAAATAAACCTTCTCTATATTTTCTCATCTAGGCCCTTCTTATCCGAATAATCTATACGACTTTTCTACTTGACCGGACATTCAAACATATGATTTAACCGGGAAACAATCCAAAAAAGGTAGAAAACTTACGACTTAGTGAGGGCGGATCGTCTGTATCCCCGTCATCTTTCATCGATGCGGTCAATAGAGCAGTTGTGGTCGTAATGGTGCTCGACACCGGCGAGGGTTGTCTCGGCGGTTGTGATTTTAACATGGACTGAGATCGTGTCGGATTGGTCGCGGACAGTGTCAGCGGTGGGGGTGTCGGTGAAAGAGATGAGGTAGGGGAAAGCGGGAGCGGATTACGTTTGATCTCAACCATGGTCAATTGAGGTTTTTGCCCCGGTCCGGTCAGAGGTTTACTGGTTGGTGTTGTTGTGGTCGTGGTGCTGGCAGGACCTGTTCCAGCCCCGCTACTCGTCACTCCACTGCCCCCAATGGAAACCACACGTGCGGACTCGGGACCATCTTCGCCCACACTGGACGTGCGACCACTTGTTTCTCCACCTCCAGTGCCAATGGTTTTTCGCCGAGTGAGCTTTGGATTGAATCGGGTTACAGGCGGTTCCGGTGTTTGACGTTGTGAGCAGTTCTCTTCGAAGAATAGTTTGAGTCGGGCGAAATGTTTGCTTCTGTGATTCGGAAATGAGTAAACTCGATGTGTTACACAGTCCGAGAAGAAGAACGCTGCTGGTAAATGAGAATCTATCACTGTGAAATTTATTTACAAAAACTGATAGAGAAAACAATTAGAACATCCAGTTCATTCTCTTCAGTTTTTTTTTGGATGGCGGTTGTGCAGAGGTGTAGATAGTCAGCACACCGCCTCGAAATCCGTGCACTCAAGCTCCATTATCATGGCTTTACTTTTCAAGGTGATGGCATTCCATAAAATCTCATTGATTAACCGCCTACGGGTTCTATAAAACAATTGTTCTATAAGGAGAGGTACCGTATTATTATTATTATTATTATTATTATTATTATTATTATTTTCAGAGATTCCAATCAAACTTTTGCAATATACAGTCGGTTTTAATCGACAAAACTTTGACTGAGACGGAGAGCAGGAGAGCGGTTGATGAATACTAATCTGTGAACTCGAATCGTGTGATCAGTGCTGTCAACCACAAGAGACTTCCGTGCCTGTCAACCATCTAACTCACAGGTAAACGTACTTGCCACACACACACACACAGACGAACATCCCAATCCCGTAACATATTGTGGTGCCCCTTTTACGTGGTGTGATATCACATTTTGCACAAGACTCTCCTGTCCCAGTTGTCACGCGACTGAGGCTAGCTCACGGTCTCACCACATGAGATCCATGGATGGAGCGGATCTCACTGAAAGACTTGGGTGTCGTGCTTATGATTATTGAGGAAATTAACTTGTCTTAGCCACGACGAACGAAAAAACCAAAACACAAGGCGTTGGTGACAACGTTTCGACCGTCTTGGAAGGTTTTTCTCAAGTCATTTAATCGGTTAATCTCACGTTACAGGCAATTATAAGGCGATCAAATGACGGCATCGTGTGGAACTCAGATGTGATTCAAGCATGTGTGTGTGTGATCGTTCTACAGGTGGTTGAGTGAAATTGGTTTGACCTTTCGGTCAAAACGTGTGAATTGGTCATTTGGCATTGGGAGTGGGGACGAGACTCTTTTGTATGCACAAGTTTCAATTGTTGCCACAACTCAGGAATGACTGCCCCATCGCATTGGCGTAGGTTCAGCGTTGATTAGGAGCGCTTCGGTTACCAAACGTTTCTTGTGACTTCAGAACACAAGCTTTAGAATTTACAGGTTTTTGAAATCAATCGCATGTCTTTCGCACATTGCGTGAACAGCAATCGCGGAATTGTGTTCCACTCTATTCCAACCTGCTGCATCATTTGGAATCTTTTTCGTTAGACGAATGTGTTCAGTCATTCGTTTGTCTCGGCTTCTAGACGTTTGGCCGACGTACGTTACAGCTCTATACGATGCCATCATCCCATTGCCTTATAATCGCTTGAAATGTGGGATTAACCGATTAAACGACTTGATAAAGGCCGTCCAAGAGGGTCTAAACGTTGTCACCAAAGCCTGGTGTTTTGTTTCTTTGTTCGTCGTGGCTAAGACAAGCTAATTTCCTCAATAACTCACGGTCTCTTTCAGTTCGGGGCTGAACATTGCAAACGTTCAACCCCATTTTACGTCGTCCTCTACCACCCCATTTGTACCAAGAACACTTCATTCATGAGACGATAAACGTTCATGGTGAGCACTGTTCAGTCAGTTTAAATGGATATAAGGAGAGCGTCTGATGAACACTATTCAGTGAAGTCCAGTTTCACTACCGATTTGGGAATAAAGTCATGAATTTGGTTCAAAATAAGGTATGAGTTCACATTTAAACTATTCGAAAATGTGGGATGAACAGTGTTCGCTGAAGGACGAGAGACCTAAGAAGTTGCAAGAGTTTTGATTCTCAACCGGAATGAGCCCGTCAATCAGATTTGCTTGAGGGTTTTGAATACAAGTTCTAATTCTGAACGAACGAGGCTACGCCGGATGAAAAAAGAAATATCCACCAGGGAGGTATCAATAATTGGACAATTTTATGAAAAAATTCTGGCGGATTGTCACGAGTAGTCGTTGACTTCCAAAAAAATACATGAGCACGACATACCACACTTCGGTCGCATCTACTTACAAGCAACTCACTCCTCTTGACGCACCATGGTGGAATGGCTGGTTGAGTTGCTTGAACCAGTCGGGAGAGAGAGAAGTCGGTGGTGAGTTTATGGGACTCATACGGGTTTGTGGACTGCATCGCATTGATATAGACGAAAAACAATCAGGTATTCGCGTTTGACCTAATCTCGTGATTTACTATTGTTCCCCTCGAAGAGATCATTGGGGATAGAAAAGTCCTGGAAGACTATTGGTTCACCGATGGATGAACTCAAACGATTTTTCCGATTCCAACAAAAATATTAATTAGAGATCAGACGAACTTTAAGTCATTCATTAGGCAATGTGGAAAATGGAACACTATCTAAGCATATTAGTGATTTTACTCCAAATAAGTGGCACACGGATGACGCTTCTGGTGTTTATGATGTTACTAGCGAAATTAATAGCCTGCTACACGAGCTTAACCGAGATCATACCACGATAGACTTTACGTCAGAAAGTGGAAACGTCCACCTTGGGGGTTTGTTCACTTTAAATGCAGCTCGTCTTCAGCACATGAAAGACAGAATTCGAAATGGATAAGATATCATTTCGTCTATACCAATTCACCTTCTCTTGTGGATCAAGCTACATGGGTCAAACCACCAAACTTCTTTCTGATCGCTTCAGAGAATACCACCATAGTTGACTTAAACAACGCGCTATCAGAATCCAGATGACTATAATCATTATTCAATTGCATCAATTTTAGTACCACAGTTAACGTGCAGGAGCCTTTCGTTCAATCCACACGGTCAAAGGAGGATTGTTGAAAGAAGTCAAGAGTTTTATTGTGTCCACGATGGAAGCGATCACAATTAGACTAACTAACTCCATTTTCTAGAATCAGAAACAATTCGTGAAATCATTAAGTTGACTTCGGTCATTGGCAGATGGTCCGGTGACGTAACTCCAATAAATCCATCCTAAATAAGCCAAAGATCAAGGGGTTAACACCAGTTATTCTAAAAAAATCATTCGCTTGACGTATGACGTATCTATGATATGCCATACATTTAATCAGTTATTAATTCACGGAAAAGGAGTATGTTTGCTGCTGTTCTGATGAATATTCTATTGGAAATATTAACAGGACATTATTTTATATCCCTCCATTGTCCTGTCTCCTTAAGGTGCCGGTGGTAGTTCGAGACTACTCATGAGCAGTTAAAACGGTCACTATTATTCAGCCATGTCATTACTTTTAGCTAGTTCAAATGACCCTAAGAACGCTAAGCAGCCTGACACAAGTGGTATACAAGTATTGACTTTGTAATTGTTGTACAATTTAAATATAAATATTAGCAGCTTTTTAAAAAATTCAAATAGCTTATACTGAGAATTTAACACCGTTGTAGTCAAGAGAATGCTCATTCATTACCATGAACAGGAAGAAATTTGTCATCGATGAAAATCACCTTGGAAATAATCGGGTTCTCCCGATCTCCACTCATACATTCACAATTGCGACTGCGGCTAGAACGGAGGATGGTAAAATTGGTGAAGAAAAGTATGTTTGGGACATAGTGATTATCTGGGGTGGCAAGTGGGAAATCATTTTACGAAAACTCTTTAATGTGTTTTATGTAGAAGGGAATGTAGTATCAAAATTCCATTCGGCATTATAAAATTATTCATTTTTACGCTGCAGAATACGTTTCTGATGTCGGCTATTTTCTTAAGTTTAACCAGTGCGAAATTCGCTACCTAATTGCTGTTGGTCTTCAAATACCCTAAACGTATTATTTGAAGATAGTAGTTCATTCAACATTAGGCTACGGGAATTTTCTCATTGTGGCTTATCCAATTCGAACTGCAGACTTCCGTGAAATCTGAGCAGAGCCAACGTGAATTCACATGACGAATCCTCAACAGTTCAAGTGTATTAAAGAAACTAATAAAACTGCCATAAAGTATTGACATCTGTCACAACTTTGTTGATATCAAGAGGATGATCGAAGCGATTTCTACTCACCGATTCTAGAAGAGAATAAAAAGGTAGTGATACTTTTAGAGTATGTGAACTCTGATCCATAAGATCTGTTGTGATAGCCATCTTACCCGGGATCATTAGGGATCAAGTGTGTAGGATGATGATGGGCCAGATGGCGATTAGTTGTGTTTGATTTTAAGAGTAATCGAAATTAATTTTCGTGTCCATCTATCAGAAATTGACCGTGATAATGCAGTCCATACAACCCAGGAAGTTGTTAGTCAAACCAGTTGATCTACGATCATCACTTCCGGGGAAATTCCCTCAGGTGGCCATCAACATTCTACTTCCATTCTGTTACGATTGCATGAACCAACAACGATACAACAAGCGGGTCTTGATTTGGTGTGTCTCAGTTAGCCACTTCGTGCTTCCCACACCCCATTTGATGGAATTCTCGGATTCTCAACACTGAGAGGTATCTGGTCTGATCCTGAAGAAAGATGCTCTCCAAAAAGGAAGCCGTAACGAGGCGTTTTTTTAAAAGTTACCTCGAGGCTATAAAGTAGAGCGGGCACTTTGCGTCCTAGTACGATACGTTTATAGCGAAGTTGTTCTTAATTTTTGATGCTATTTTCGTTTCGGAAATAGCCAAATTGTCGAAATTTTGTATTTAGGCATTTTAATTAACTTTTTGTTTTTCTCTTTTATTTCCTTTCATTGAATATACAATGATATAATCTTCAGGAAGGGAGAAAAGGTCATTCAGCACACACACGAGAGAGAAAGTCAGGTGGCGGTGGTGGTGGGATTCGAACACAGGTCCTCCGTGGTGATAATTTTGTGACGTTATCACGGGGACACCACCGCCTACTCAGAATTGGAAATACTGTCGTGGTGTTTATACGATTCGCATTCGTCAACTGCTGTTTGTAACTAATAATAAAGTTTATCTGAGGTAAAAACGAAACACAGTGGAGGGTAAGTTATATCGTTTCTGCCAGAATACTGTTGTGTTTTACCCTATTCATCAATTTCTATCTATTACAATGTGTCACAAGCGAAACTTGTTGTGTGCTTCTGTGCTTCATTCATACACCACTGATTATAAAAGCACTGAAAATCGGCCCCGATGTCGAGTTTGTTGCGGTTAGACACATCCAATCTAAAAATATATATCACGGAATCGGTGCAATTGGCTTATCTCGATTCGAATCGCCTGACATGCAAATTAAGTTTGCATTGCCTAAAACAACTGTTATATTAAAAAGCCCCACCCACTAGAAAGAACTACCTTAGTTAAACACCGACAAAAAAGCACAACTTGACGCAGTTTATGCACAGCCGAAATAGGGTGTTTCCAGATTATCCTCGTCATTCACGCTGAAGTGTATGTTTACCTAACGACCACTGCCAACAATACATTTATTTGCTTGGCAAGATGCACTCTCAGATAACCATGCCCATTTCAATGCATCATTTTTAAAATAAAACACAGCCAACGCGGATGTCGGTAATGCTCGACCCCGGATCTAAAAGTGCACGCATTATGTGGACATGCTGTTGAGCACGCCTATGGTTCTTGTTTGAGGCTCATCGACGTTAGTATTTTTTTAATTACACACCTAAGTTTGATGAACAGCAGACGGGGCAAATCCTTTAGTCACAAAGACCTGCTATTCAGTGGTGGAAACCGGCAACCCAAGCCCCGGGACTTGGAGTGACGAACCACATAAGGCCCCGATGGGTTAGGCGCGGTATTGAGCCGGACGACAACAGAGCGGCCTACCACCAAAGTCGGGGGGCGGTGGCGGGGCTCGAACCTCGGACCATAGGGTCCAAAGCACGCCGATGACAGCGACTAAACCACTGTGCCACCACCACCTGAGTGTGTGAGAGTGGACCAGGGCTCGGAATTACCAATGTTGTTTTATAGTATCCATGCGTGATGCCAAAGCTCCAGTTGGTCGCTAGTTCAGTTATTCTTTGAAAAATTGACGTGTGTTTCTGTTTCTCGATTTCAGCACCACGTATTTCCTTCTCTAAGACGGTTTGTTCATGTCCTACGTAATGAATCAGAAAAAAGATGATGACTATGGTTCCGGGAATTGAAGTTATGCAAAATTCGTACCACAATCAATCAATCAATTATTAAATAGGTAACCCACCTTTCTTGACTTTCCTTTGCAGCATCGACCGAGTCTACATTCCCATATTTATCTGAAGATAGTTCTGGCACCACAATTGTTCGCGGAATAGTGGAATGTCGAACATCAGGCACATACTGAGTGTTCAGATAGGACATCGACGGACTACTGCGTTGCCGTTGCGGACGATTCAGAGTGAAACTGTACTGATTGAATCGTTGCATTGGACTCTCATTCTCCGGACATGAGCTGGGGAAACTCGTGCCAGCGGTGTGGTCAGCTGGTAAAGTGAACAGATAGCAAGATAGAACCGGGTAGAAACGGAGTGCCAAATCAACCATGATTTGTTTTTAGGGCATTATCATCATTATCATTGTACAGCGAAATACCGTGAGGCGAACTTCACTCATCACTGCCAAACTCCAAATGCATACAAGATTAGTGGTAAAATTTAAGGTGGACAAGGATTGGACCTATCTTGAGGGAGGGAGAAGAAGGTGAACCTCTATGGTCAGCACACACAGAGAGTGCACAATCGAACTATGCATACATACCGTTTCAAGCATTCTGACGTGATAAGAAACGACAACAAGTACGCCACTGCTATCGGTTCGCTGCCATATCCTTCAATGTCTCTAACCAACCAGTTGTGGAGTTTTTCGGACCCCAAGCTGGAAGGTTAGAGACACCCACCCTACCTAATGGTTCTGTGCATTTCTTCATGCCTCGTCTCTACGTCATCTGTTGACCTCCACGCGGTTTCCTCCAGCCTGGATAAGCTAGGGCACAAACTGTACATACGAATGTAAGTGAGTAGTGGGGGCAATGAATTCGCATGATTAACTTTAAGAAAGCCAAATAATGGCTTACATTATTTTCAGAACAATCTTCTGTACAGCCATAATGCGGTGGAACCAATAACCAAATATATCGGGAAAAAATAATTTCCTAGGCAATTATAAGGATTCGTCCTTGCTGTTCAGCGTGAACTCTGCAGCATGGAGTACCCATACGCTCCATAGTAGCTTGTACTTAATGAATGCACATGCATGCTAGGGAGTCCAGTTTACACGTGATAGGAATTTCGGCTTGAGCTTTGAACTCCAAATAAATAAACTGACCAAGCGGTGGCGTTCAATGTTGGTAAATCAATTTAAAATCGCTATTTCTTTAACGGACTCGGAGTACTCGGAGCCTGATCAATTCCAAATCTTGTAAGGAGGGACCGGAAAAATGAACTTGGACTGATTTTGATTGAGCAGTTTGCTTAACAATCGGATTAAAAATAATTTGCCTTGGTGGTTTTTGGAACCAAGGTATGTGTGTATCAAAAAATGTCTATTGTAATGTTGTGTAATTTTGGGATGTTCTTTATGCAGCAATGCTTCTTCTGACAGTGAGTGTCCGCTTTTAACTTTGAAATTATATCCTCTTTTTAATCAAACTAAACGACTGCGTTCCGTTTTCCTCAGTTCTTTTGGATATTGAGCCAGGAATGAGCGAACCACAGTTGAGGCATAGCTGAGTGATGAAAAGCATTGATCAAAAACAGACCAGTCATCACAATTCATCTCGATAACTCCGGTTGTTAGGACGAAACACACAGTATCCATCCGGCCGCGCATCGATCCGCATCACACAAGTGCGTTCGTGACGCCCAAGCCGAATCGATTCTGGATCGGATGACTACGGCGCATCAGACAGCTGTCGTCCGATCGACCAATCGGAGTATCAAGGTCACAACCTGATTGGTGCGTCATCTCGTCGTTTCTCGTACGCCTAGTTTACTGCCTATATTTGCGTATTGCTTCATGATCAATAGTATATTCTGACTGTTGCTTTCTCAATCGTGTTCTCTCTCTCCAATTGTTGAGCTAGTCAAGAGGTGCGCATATCGATCGTACGTCTTGATAAAACATAACACCGGTGAAAGCCTCGTAACAAATTTTGCTGTTAGATTACGCCCATCCATGATCTGGGAAATGAAGTGTATCGCTCAGAGTAGACCGTAAGCACCGCACTCGTCTCTGAACGTAGTTACTGTGATAGCCTTTGGTGATTCATGTCAGAGAAACTACGAGCAGCTTTTCCCTAGCTGCAGCGCGTCATCCACTGTGCTTATCCAGTCGGGTCCAGCTTAGCCGTCTCGCACACATCGCAATGCTTCACCGAACCACCGGATCGACGTCCGTCAGCGAGCTGGACAACATGCACTGCTGAATTCTTCCTCAATTCAACACAGAAAGCTAGGGAAGACAGTTAGTCAGTTAGGGGTTGAAGTAAAACGACTGATCAATTAACCAATGAGGTGCGTCGAACGAAAGGAGATCCAACCACAGCATTCCTTTCTTAATTTAAAGTGATAGTTTCTCAAAATAAACATTTACAATGAGAAAAAAAGAAAAACAGTCCTGTATTTGAGCGAAACTCTTCATACAGAATAAATTTGATGTTCCGTTTAGATACATACATACATACATACATACATACATACATACATACATACATACATATATATATATATATATATATATATACATACACATGCATGAATGTTGGCAGCCATGTGTAAACTTGATGTATATTAAAAATAATTTTTGATGTCCATCATGAAGATCAGTTAAACGGATATGTAACTATGCAAGCACACGTTTGTATAAATAAGTTTCAATTGAAACGGGCTTGTAGATTAGAACAATCCATTGTGAAATTTACTCTAGAAATCGGAAACAGGCATCCTCTGGAAAATGGTTTGACCATTTGAAATTGTAGGAATATTTTGAAGCGCTTCATTAGTCTCGTCCAAACTGGGGAAGAAATGCCTCCGGAATCTGATGAGAAGATAAATTTAATCTATTCGCTAAATAAACTCAGAATTATTGAGGTAGTGAACGTGAAGCATGAGAACGGTCGACGTGCTTGATATCACCACACAAATATCCCAAGATTTAAGCGTTCGATTTTCTAAGCACAAAGATCTTATTCAGTTTTAATGCAGGGTAATAAAAAGTACTTCAAAGCTGCAATTCAACCAATCAATCGGTGATACGTACAAAGACGACGATCGTTCACTGTCGTAGTCATCTTTCACGAGATTGCGCAACAGAATCTTTTAATGCTCAGTTGGTATGCTGTTGACTAATCTGTACAGTGCAGCATATTTTGCTGGTAGATAAAAGCTTTATCGTGTACTTCGGAATCGGGTAGTTTATAGGGACCGGTTTGGAGTTGTAGATAAAAGCCCCCTAGATCCCGGATTCGAATCCCATAGGATTTGAACTATATGCAACAGGGAGGATTCTAAATAGAATGAAATGTCCGTTTTTAGTGAAGAGTAACTAGTAGCCTAGTTGATGCGTTCAGAATTTCACCTCGATTGGTTTTCAATCTAATTACTAAGCGTGGCGAACAACTGAACATCAAGTTATGGTTTCAGGGCTACAAATCAACAAGCAACACCGTTTTTTACAAAACTATCCCAAAAGTGATCGGTAAAAGTTTTTGCACTGACTAAAACCCCTTCATCAAAAAAACAAACAAAAACAAAAGCAAATGATAGCTTACCCGGTGTCCAATCCGTGGCATCCTGGTTCTGCACAATTCGGGTCGATTTGGTCACTGTTAATGATTTGGGTTCACCCCCCGACACACAGGATGTTTCCGCATCAGTCTGTTTTTGTGGTTTCGTTGTTCTGATACTGGCATTCGGACGGGTGGTGCATCTGACGTTCCCGGTCCGATTCCCATTCCATGTTCCGCCGGGTGAAATTGTTCGCGCCTCCTCGTCTTCCTCGTCCGATTCCGAGCTGCCCGCAANGTACAATTCCTTCATGAATGTCTCTTCCCACCATAAACTTGGTTCACTGGATCCGAAAGGGAAATCCCGGGAGGAGTGGATTAATCGGGGAGATCACTTAAAATAGACTATTTGGTTCCGGTCGAATATGCGTAAACGGCCAATTCTACACGTGAATTTTTCGATTAACGTATAGTATTTAAATGTAGTGGAAATGTTTGTGATAACCGTTAAAGAGCAGTAGACATCTGTTTCGTCCTGTTTGGAACTCGTCAACAGTGCGCACTTTTTGCGTGTCCCTGTCAGGACTCGAACCGGGAACATTCGGATCGAGACTTCAAGCCCTTACTCCTGGGCAAAACAGTCAATGGTCATCATCTTGTGCGAATGGCTCAATTAATTTAGACTGTGAATGTTGGGATTAGCCATTTCGGTTTTTCACAGACACCAGGCACTGTTGATGATCTTGAGTGTGGATTTCACTACTTGGAAGATCGTTAAATGCATTTAGATGCGATAAAAATGTTTGCGAAGCCCGATAAATATTTCCATCGCAATTCAATACATTCAACTAGTTAGGGAATTAGATTCTCTCAAGGAGCGAAACCCCCAGCCAAGGTCATTAAGATTACCTGGTGCCTCTGAACAGTCGAATAGGTTAATACAAACATTCAATGTATGAATTGATTTGGCCACTCGTACTAGATGATGACCGTCGACCGTGTAGCTCAGAGATAAGGATTTGAAGTTCTGACCCGAATGCTGGCAGTTCGAGTCTAGCTGACGAGTCCCAAAGTGTACGAAACAGCTGTCCAGTGCTGTTTGTCCGTTATTACAAACATTTCCGTCCCATTTAACAGTTAACTTCAGGTTAAATGACGTGAATCGGTTTTTAATTGTGGATATCCAACTAGAAGGTTGATGTTAATTTCCGTGTAAAATATGAGTCAATCGTTCAACAAGTCATGCAGTTTGAAAGGTTGATTAGACTCTCTGAGTGTTGCGTGTAATTGATTAGGAAGGAAGGTCCGAATTGGAATAATGGACACTGTTGTTCAACTTACAAGAGGTTTCATATAACACCATATCACAATAACTTAAAATAAAAATGACTTCGTTTATGTATAATAAGACAAACTAAAATAATCAACAACGAAACAACAACAATTACTACTACTACTACTATTACTACTACTATTACTACTACTACTACCACTACTACCACTACTACTACTACTACTTCTACTACTACTACTACTACTACTATTACGGTTATCGTCCGCAGTTCACGAAGATTCTGACAAAAAAACATCATAGGCATTGCTAACCTGCTTCCTCGTCTTGGACCCCGTTTTGGTCGATCCTCGTGGAACGTGTCATCAATACAGTAACGAGGGAATTGCGAAACCATGGTGGTTCGATAAGATATCGGCGGATGCATCATGTCCTCCCGGACAGAACGGGGCTCGTCATCTAGTGCAATCTGTCTTGGTCTGCGATCGCGTAACGAGCCGGTACCAGTTAGGACAACCGGTTCCAGCCGGAACGAATCCACTTTCGGTGAGGAACGATTGTCCGAGTCCACTTGTTTGAACCGATCGACATCTTTTGTTGTTGGCACACAAGACAGTTGGATGAACCGGTGTAGATGTGAAGAATAGAAGAATAATTTTTTTTTNGGATGGGGTTCAGATAAAAGGATACGGTGTGAAGAAAATAAAACTCGTCCGAATGAGTCATAACAATTAAAAGTATAATCATTGAGTGCTTAACAGAAACAGTGATTGTGAACTTGAATCTTCGGTAGTTTCATTTCTATCTTAATTGCGGACAACTTTCATGTGATTTATCGGCTATCGATCGACGTCTAAGTCCGTATTGATCATAACCATCGCGCAATGCTCACAGCATTTTGCATTGTCATTGTAGGTTACCTGATTCATGCCTCAGTCCTCGAAGCATATTGTATCTGTCATAATCGATTGTCAAGTCTACATTACTAAACTGAAAAGAGGGTACAAATTGCAGTCCTTATTCGTGCCAACCGGATTCTATGGGACCGAAAAGGTTTCATTGAACTTTTAGCTGTCCAGACACAACAGTTTCAACTCATACTGAAACAGTGTATTGTTTGACTCATGAATCAACCAAAGAATAGACTTTGAGATCTCATTTTTTTAGTTCAAATACTACTGACCAAAAAGCATCTGCCACTTTGATGGGATAGCAATATTCATGCTCGTCATCAGCTGTGTGATGGGGGATCTAGGGCGCATGATTCGATTACCTCTTCAAGCGGTCTTCGAACCCCAAAAGAGGTTTGTGTTGTCACAGATTATCCCCTTTTCTTGTGAGCTGATTCTTTAAATGTTTGCTTGAATTAAGATCAACTGAATGCGAAAAGTGGACAATGTGCGGATGTGTAGTCATCTTCGAAAATGGCCTTGGTAGCTGTGTTGTCAACGATGGCGAGATCTGTTAGATATCTAGGTAATCAGGTCGAAACAACTGTTCAGTTCTTCCCTGGTTTTCAGCTCCCGCCTCATTTACGCGATGAATCCATCATGTAAATTGATCATGTTGGGTGCAGTTTCTTCGACCTTCCAATGAGATGAACTCCCCCACAGGTGCAATAAACCTACATTGTGTCATCATATTCGACGATCATGCTTGAATAACGAAAGTACTGATTCATCGGTCCATTTTCGTCCCCTCCTCACCCACTCTAAAAGCAACTTTGATGATGTTCAATGAATACGGGAAACCAAATGCGCCTTATTGATTGAGATACACGTTGAGTGTATATGGATAAGAGACAGTGTGGATATCGGCTAGATAGCACAATGAGTTACAGATTATCACTGTTGAACGGGACCGATTAAACTTGAAAGCTCCAAGTAAACCCCATGTTCTCTCGTGATCTTCAGCTCTCTCTTGGGGGTCGTTCAGAATTACTTTTACTTTTTAATGGATCAATTCAATAGCTTACATTGCAAGGTCAAAATACTGAGTAACACGTGACACGAATCCGCTGATTCCCACAGTCCGATTGAACTACATACAGCGTTTACTGGTCTGAGCATCAAATGAACTCAAAAGGACAGAAAAATATGTGGATTATTGAAGTACACATCTATCGAACCTCTATCAAAAACTTCACACTTTCCGCACATCCGACGGAAGATTGCACCAAGCAAAGATACAACTCGGGTTGGTTATATCGAAGTGTTCTGCACTCGCGGTATGAGGACCATAATTCAGAACCATAATTCACTTAGCAGAGAGAGAGAGCCTTGTAGCGAGCAGTGTGTAGTGTGTCTGACTAAGGCCCAAAGATAATCATTAATCGACCCTGTTCTCGAGTTCGATGTAAATTTATACCAGGGCATGTCATCAGTAATGAGAGCTAGTAGCAATGGGTACCCTGATGACTGAACTCATTAAAGGAGACAGAGGAATTCGATTCCAGATATCACATCTGCAGAAAAGTGAACAGATTTGAAATTTGATTGGTTGAAATTTTGGATTGCCCGGAGTGTATTTGACCTGGTCTTTTCCAATCTTTATTGCACAAATTTACAGATGATTTGTTAAATGGTATGTGTACGTGTGTGTGTGCGCGCGTGACATTGATGACTTAAGACTGGACCAACGAAACAGCGCAAGATTATCTCTCGTATTTTCTCGCGCCGATGCTTCTTTGGACCGAATAACACCAAAGAGTGCAACGCTTCCAGAACAGTGTGTTGCCGGTTTTTCGGGGAGAGGGGGTTGGGGTGAGGTGGAAGAATTAGCGAATACTATTGGCCAAATTTGTCAGATTTCATCTTAGATAACACCACTAGATGAAAAATTAAACGACATTCCCTTAGATTTGCTCTATGATAAATATTTATGTAGTAATAGAATTTTCTATTCGTGACTAGTGAAAACTGAAATATTCAATGAAACCACAAAAACGTGGATGTAAAGAACCTACAGTATGAATGAATCATTGTTTTCTTAAGTAAATAGAAGACGAACCATACAACGACAGTTGTATGGAAAATGTTTTGCTGTTTGAAAACATATACTTTGTAATCATCCATTTATTGAACAACTAACAGATGTATGATCACTCAGTACAGAATGTCGTAAAATAACGTATCCGGTCTAGATGTAAGGGCAGTGGAGTTCATGGCATGTGACAATAAATGAGCGAATATTGTGAGCAGACAACTCGATTTGAATGACTGTATGACGAGAATAACCAAGCATATTCTATTATAATACATTACATAAGGCTTATTCAATCGTCATTGATTTTCTCAATATAGAAATCCAAGGTTTAGTGTTTGTGTTAAACTTCATTTCGGATGTGAAAACGAACACAAGACAATATAGTCAATCTATAGCATAAATTCAGATAAATCTGCAGGTCAACGATGGGATCGGAACCAAACCCACGGGGCTGGATTACTATCCTCATTGTGAGCTCTGCTAGATGGGAGAACCATTTATGTATCTGGTTACATCACATTTAGTATAAGGTTTTGTTGCCGAAGCAAAGACAATTTTCACCAGGCTGTGTTACCGGTACAGTTAAACGCTATTACTTTCTCCCCGAGCTGAATGAATAGAACTGGTTCACTTTTCATATTTGTTCCGTTTCAAACAAATATTTAATCGAGTTTATGGGGGAACAGAGAGCAATGAGTTGGGCTGAGGGCAAGGACAGCTAGGACCATTAAGAAGCGGGCCAATTGTTCACCACGAGCCACAGCACAGGGGCGAGAACATGGGCCATTAGGCTGATGATGATGATAATGTTGAAGCAAAGGAAAACGTACCAACTTGTAGTGGCCGTGCTGACGGTATTCGTTCGCGCTCATCTGCACTGCCCACCACCTCTCGGTTCACGTTGAGCACTGATGTTTTCTTAGGTGCAATGAACTAGATTTTTAAAGGGATGTTGAAAACGAGAGAACAAATCCATAACAAAGGGAGCAGAAGAAAGCGAGAGAGATTGAATTAGTTAGTTTTTATTTAAAACATACAAAGTAGACTATAATTAAAGTAAAGATATGTGAATAATGAAAAAGTGTATTGTTTAGATAGTGATGACTGTGGTGTTCAAAAGCGGAAAACTGAGCAGCCAAAGCAAGTTCACAACAGAGTTTGCCTTGAAAAACAAAACAAAACAGACTCAACGTTCTACATACTTCAAATAATTCGCTGGGGGTTATTTCTCAAATGATGAGGATCAGGGATGAATGTCACGGTGACGAGAGTACAGCAGCTATTGTTGTTGTTGGTGTTTATGGTGTCGATGGCTTCTGTGAAAGATATCTGTCCATAAAGGTGTTGATCAAACTCGTGCAACTTCACTCTCATTTTGGAAATAAATTTCAGTTTCCAATATCATACTTGTATATTGCTGTCTATGGGTCAGGTGTATTTATTCCTGAGTTTATCTCCCACTTCTATGTTCATAGTTCTCTTCAATCGCCGTTTGAATTTGCGCGATCCTGAGTGCCACGATAAAATTAGTAGAAGTTTGAAATTTGCAACTCAGATTTGGAAAATATTTTATGCAAAGCAGCGTGGAAATTCATCCTTTGTAATGAATGGTTCCCGTTTTATATGAGTGTTTATCAAGCGGAACAAACGTATTTTGAATAGCCTATCTATTTTCATTCAACGCACAGTAAATAAGCCAATCGATGAATATTTTCTAGCTTAAATAACTTGATAGGTTATCTGGCTACAAACTACTCACTTATTATTCGCAATACTGAAACAACTGAAAGTATAATCCAAGACACATACAATTTGACCTTGACGTATGAGGCTCGCTGAATAAGCGTTTTGTTGTGTCACCATACCCAAACCCGATGAAAAATTCAGAAGTTTTTGACATATAATTGAAGCCGAGAGGCACATAAATCCGCTGACTCAATTCCTGATTTGCACAAGTGCTCTGACATGAACATGAGCCCAATTTATTGCACAATCAATGGAATTTCTCTATCAAGACACGAACCAGAGGGGAGCTAATTGATCACGTCGAAACAAAACGACAGCTAAATTTGATCGCAGCTGAAGAAAGTTGCACTCAAACAATTTGACGATTAGCAGTTTTTTGCTCATGCTACCGTTTGGAAAATGATGACTCATTTTGAATTGCAGCTGAGGTCACCTGATATGAAGACGTTATGTGTCCCAAACGTATTCTACCAGTGAAGCAAATGAAAGCAGATCCTAGAAAGGCAGGTTTTACGCATTCACCAAGCACAAAAATACAGCTAGATTATCGACGGGTATTCACAATCACATTTGAAACAAAATTGAGCATTCAAGGTCATAATTTGCATGGTTCTTTCCATTTTCCGAGTTAAGCAGTAGAAATGGAGCTGAGAAAACGTTCAGATATCTAGATTACAAGCGCCTGTGCTATGGTTTTCTCTTCTTTTGGGGCTTCTCAAAATTCAAATCTTCATATGTTCCGGTTTCATTCCATATTGTTCAAATGACTGCGATTGGTTCTAAGTGATCTGCAATTTGCGGTTGACAGAACGAACAAACTGAATCAGAATAGCTACACTGTAAGATGGTATAATAGTTTTTGGTAGTTATTTTTATGATATTGAAACTCATAAAATCTGATAAAACTTTCCAATTTTTTAATTGGTTTTATTTAATAAAAAAAATCATAGAATGTGTTTTCTGCACGGAGGAACTGGCCAAGCTATCAAGAAGTGAGGAATTTAGGGGCCCTGGTTGGTGAGATTCGAACCCACGACATTTGGACAGACGTGAGGGTGACTAGAAACGCTGCCACATTAACCGACTCACATGATACAGACGATTGAGGTGGAGGGTAAAGTGAAGTGGAAAAAGCGAAACATTTCACGAATCACGTATCCCAGTCACGGGAGCCCAGATTCACATGATTATACCTAACTGAGGTAGATCACGTGATGACGGATGTGCACACAGTTGAGTTAGAATTTTCACCAGACGAAGGTTGGAGATAGTTTATTTTACCTTGAAAAATGTATGAATTTACATATTTAGGAGCATGCATTTCACCTTGTTATGGAACATCACAATCATTTTAGGTATTGCCAAATCATCTGCACATATACATTTTATTTGAGAGTCAACTTTGTGATAAGTGTATACGCGATGCAATGTGGAACAATTCAACGGAAATAACTCGATCCACATGCTGACCGACTTTGGATATGGTGTTAATCAGTGCTATGGGATTAATGGGTTAAAATTTCCCAGAAGGCTCAAAACAGATAACGTCCGCTTGTCAGGGAAGTGATTATATATATATATATATCATTGACAAAAGATTACCAGATACGCATGCCTGACGAGCGGCAAGAACCGCGAAACCGGTCGTGTGCTTCCAGGGAAATTTTGTCCAGTCATTCACATAATACTTATTATCAAATATATATATATATATATATATGAATGCTGCAAAACATTCGATGATAAACCGTAATAAAGATCATATACGCTAAACTTATTTTGGTATAAATGTTCAGGAAACGATCGTTTGATTATTTTGATAAACCGAAGCCAATTTTACGAGGCTATTTCCTCGTTCGGTGCATTTTCTTTCCAGGTCAACTTTAAGTCACTCTAACAATTTATTATGGTAGAACCGATAGTCTATCTCATGCGACGCAACTGAAACCTCGACATTGATTTTAGAGAGAGAAAAAACCGACGATTGAACACACAAACACAGGGAAAACGAGAAAAAAGGCATATTTCTCTCCACGGTTTCTCTTCCTCTTTTCCTATTCTATTTACTTTCCCATGTGTATACCTGATCGTCCAATGGCTTTTCCGGGCTGTGATGCGTGAAGTTGTAATACTGATACGATTCGGGTTGAATTTGATAATAGCGTTCTGTGAAATTATTTTCCATCAAGTGTGACCGCTTTTCGATGAACACGGGGTGATGATACAATTTACCCTCCTCCTTCTGCTCTTGCAATTTCGTCCAGGCACAGGTGTAAATATCCGGTCTACGACTGGCCTCGTAATCCATAAACATGGTCGTATCATTGTTTTCATCAAACAGATCCTCATACGAGTCGGCATTATCCTCTTCACTGTCTCCGTTATTTCTATTCGCCGCCTCAAAAGTAATTCGTGCCTCGTAGCCAAATTTGTTCAGACTGTCGGGCCGATTACAACAATAGGGTATTCGTTGCACCGGGATTTTCTTACATTGTGACCGATGAACCGGATGATGCCATATTTCTCGCGTTTGCGTGGGTTCAATCCATGGATTATGTAATGTCCAAGTGGGTCGATGCTGGTGATACATTTTCTTCCGGGTCAATTTGTATCTGTGCTCGAGTGGACCGAGATATCATGTGGACACAAGCTCACAACACAACACAACACAAGTGCATCGTCACATTGGCGCGTGTTGGCGCGCACGCACACAGACGGATCGATGAATAACTAGAGAGGAATATGTTGACAAGTGGCAAATGGGTGATAAATGCAAGCAAGATACCAAACGATATGCAATAGACCGTGGTGTTCCGTGTGCGTGGGGGTTTGTCTATCTAAGATGGTGGTAAATGGCTAAAAGAGAAAAAAGACAAATATTTTGAATCAGCCATGATAAATCTTGAAATATTTAGAACCACAGTATACCGTTGGAGAATTATATTGCATTGCAGTGTGCTTTCGAACCAATGTCTTTGTGGATTCGAGCCAAATCGAATCAGTGAAGGTAAAACTTTAAGTTTCTAAAACGGTATTCATGGGAGTATTTTTGTTTGCAAAACTGTCCCACCAGAAATATATAGGTAAAAATGCAAAAATGCATGAAAATTACTGTTCAAAGAACCATCTCTTCGATTTCACCACCAGGGAGAGCATCAATATTCGCACTGAACTATGTTCAATGAGTGTCCATCAAGTACAAACTTAGCTGTTCTACTGTGATTGGTCCATTTTCAGACCAGTCAATCGACAGTGACCATATCGCCATTCGTCGCTGATCAATAATTCTATTCACTCAGACTATTAATGCCAAACGGAGAGTGCAGCTGGTGACCAGTATGCAAATCAAACAGATGAACGATGCCGGTCAATCATGGCCGGGAGATAGGGGGGGGGGGACAGCATGGTGAGAAGATCATCTACGAATCAAGCATGCAATTGGAAAATTCTAGAAAAATCGTAAAGACTTGTACCGGTGGTCAGCCACTGGAATACTGTCAGTTGAAAACATACATAAGAGGAAAATTGCAGCAAAAGAATTTAAGTCTACTATCCAACTTCTACTTGGCGCAACAGAAGATAAACTGAAACAACACTGTAGCTCACTTGATGAACGATTAAAAACTTTGTGCTAATTGAAAAGCTCCTTAGACGAACAGCAATATTCTTTTTATTAAATCGATTAATGGGCTGTATATAGACATTTTGAAGACATGAAGCAAACTATTTATTTAGCAGTCCTTCGTTAACCAAGATGAGTATGAAACAAGAAATTAAAGATGAACTATTGAATGACACAGCCGTAAAGAATATCGTTTTCATTGTTTCTTAATTACGCCAAAACAACATAATATACAAATGAATAACTACAGATTACTGGGAGGGATTTGCGGGGGAAGGGAGGATGAGCAGAACTTCTATATAATTTGATCCTAATTGTCCTCCACTCCGAGCATGAGTTTCCTCAGGGGTCAATTTTCCCCTGTTGGGTTGTCTGAGATTACGTGTCTGAAGTTCCTCTAAGGGAGTCTATATGATTCAGCAAATTGTTTTTAAGCAGGCTGAGCGGTTTTGTGGACAAGGCTGGTAACTGTTTCCTCTATGGCTATAGAATGTGGGACTTCATGTGACTAAACTGTTTCCCTGTATCTCAGTGCACACTTTCAGACTCTCCGGTCGCATTAGCGATGCAACTAATATGGAAATACCACAATGGCTATCTATCGACTTAATTAATGTTAGGACGGAGATTACAGAACTCCTCAGGCCGCGTGCAAGCCACAAGCATATTTTCGACGCCAAAGACATATCGATTCCGGAGTGGATGAATGTGGAACGAATCAGACACAACTGTCATTGGACCAATCAATTGGAGAGGCAAAGACGAAATCTGATTGGTTCGTTATGCTTTTATTTTTCTATCTTTTGTTTACCCTTTATGTGCGCGTATTGTACCATGATCATAGATTTTACTGTGGCAGTCGTGCTCCACTAGTGTTCCCTCTCCCGCATTGAGTTTAGGAGCTGAAGCAATAAACACTTGTTTTGATCATATTTCTAGATCAAACATAGTACTATATGACACCATTTGCCAGGGTGTTGCTCAAGGCTAAGCTCGTATAGGCGCTCAGTTGTGCTGTCGATATGATTTTTCATACAGGAGCAAGTGAGGGAATAGATAAAAAAAACTGTAATCAGTCATTTATCCTGTGTTATATTGGTATGATCATAAAACACTGAAAACGAGCTTGTTAGTCATTTTGCATTCTCATCATGTGTTCTAGGGTGAATCTTCAGACATTATTGAATCTAATTTACGTTCTCTAAAAAAGATGGATAACCAACTTTGTGTCAGTATTAATCACACGTTACTGAAATACTGCGAACGCGCCTTGTGGAGTTTATCCACTACATACGCAGTTAATCTGCTTACAATCAATGGATCGGGTCTTAAGTTCCATACACGTTACCCTTCCAGTTCACAGTGAAGCTACGAGATAGGACACCGCGGTTTCCGGGCAGTTGAAGTATTACAAATCCCCTGAATACCACTTGGTGGTGAATGGCGGGAAAGTTGAGCTTTCCAGCCACTGGAAACATATATAACAAGTTTCGAGAAAAGGTAAACAAAACCGTGTGACTATTGTTTCTGCCAGAGGATATCTGAATGGTGTCCCACGAGATGTTTCCCCGACGATTACAGTTAAATACAATGATAATCAGTGTAAGCGTTTACTGATAGCATCAGAAAAAAGTGGACTGATCAATGGAGAACCGTGCTGCATTTATAGGATTGCACATGGTTCAGGTTCTACCTGAATGCAAAATCCGAGAACATCGATGGAGGGAATGGCTAAATCAGACTGCTGTGTTCTGTCCGTTACCCTGAATCCCACGAATTCAGTGATATTGAGAGAACAGCGGCACCTTAACATGGTGGCGATTGGTTCAAAGACATTCCAAATGGACACTGTGGGAATTCTCATGGGAAAGTTAGGCTTCCCCTGACAGTAACCTAGACGAGTGAACTGCATAAAACCCTACATGAATAAGTGTTGTAGCGTGACGAGAAACGGTGAAGGTTCCAGGAATCAAAACGCTTAAATCAGAGCTTGAAGCTCATCAGCGATAGCTTCTTAATCAGACCGAATAACAAACAAACCTTTCATATGCTGGAAGATTCGAGAGGACCCTGATACTAAACGGCTGAAGATTTTATCGAGAGAATAAAGTACAGGGGATTTCAAACAGGCAAAGGGAAATAGAACAATGCCCCAGGTTACGGACACGTGGGTTACGGAGAAAGAAGGGCGGGCAACCTCTATTGCTCGATCGCACCCACCGCTCTTGTGATGTTTTGGTCCTAGTGGTCTAAGGATGGTACTAAATCAAGTTGTACTATTTTCTGTTACGCAGCCACCTGCCTTGGGACGCTTTTTGTCTGGAATCTTGCCGCTTAGGTGACAATGCAACATGTGGTAATCTGTGTCTTTCCGTCCATGGGCTCAGGCATCTACGGAGGTGAGACGAGCGGAGTATGAAGAGTTAAGGAAAGAATTTGGGAGAAAAGTAATCGGTGCAAGTGCGACCGATATCCTTCCTATTTGATTCTTGGATGAGAAGAGCAACTAAACAACTGTGTTGTCAAGTTGTTCTTCAAATGATGCATATCTTGGTACGCATCAAGCGCACCTGACTTTGTGATTGCCCATCGCTATTTCCGTCCATGTTGCTTTTTGATAAAGTTATGAAAATGGTAGATCTAATAACCGATTAAAACACAGTCCACAAACATGTTAAACAGTAGGGCGGTCGCATCCACCGATGCGGTACCGCGGCTTATCTTCATGGCACAGTGAGTAATACATAGTTTAAACTTTTTGAACTTTTGGGTACAAGTGCGTTCAGCTCGCAATGGACGAAACGAAACGGTAGTGTGCAACGATTACGACCGTGCTCATGGTCACGTGAGTGTCGCGCGGATTCCATTTCTGAGGGAAAGCGCGATCTACTTCACTCTTACACACACAAGCTCGGAGCCAGATTTGAATTATTTAGGACAGAATGTCATCATCCTTTCTCCTGTTGTCATTCCAATCTGATGCCATCTACTGGCATGATTACGAAAAGCTGCCAACTAGCTTGTACGCCAAGTTGTTTTTCTCAACATGTTCTGTGGGACTATTCAAACACTTGAAAGCATGATTGATGAAGCTCGAGCGCGCGCGCGCGCGCGAGAGAGAGAAAGCCGTTGAGTACACAATTGACAAAAACATTTCACCATGAATCGATTCAAAAACACTTGACACGCACGTCAGATTAGTCTGTCAACACGTGCCTGTGTCTATGTGCATGTGTGTGTGTGTGTGTGTGTGTGTGTGTGTGTGTGTGTGTGTGTGGACCTGTGCTGGTGCTGCCATTCGACAGAAACGCCTAATCGTGCGCCCCTTCCAGTCTCGATCACACACACACACACACACACACACATGCACACACAACCGACTTTTGGTTGACAGATGCTCACCTGTCGGATTTTAGGCACATGTCCTTCCAGTTTACTACGGTTTGATGAGTGGAAAAATCTAATGTTTGTGCACTCAAGATGCCAAGATATCATTTATGAATCACAATCCACAATCACGTGATTATACAGGTCTATTTCATTCCAGTTGCTGTAATGTTAGAAAGCTATCCGTTGAATATCCGAAAAAGAAATGGGTGGAAGTTATTTTGCTAGTGAAATATGATTGACAGAGTAATTGGATACGAGAAGTGTCTCAATATTTCTGGAATACTGTTAATACGTAATCAGGGGGGAGGGGGCGGGGGAGGATCGATTTATGTATGGGATTAAATATAATCGTTGAGGGAGCACGACGAAGAACACGTAGAGTTCAAAAGGGAAACTAATTACAGGTATCCCAGCTCAAGCTGCTCACAAGTTATGGGGAGATTTTATCATGTGATTTAAGTATGTGTTGCGTA